TTCCTCCTTGTATTTTCTTCACATTTAGCTCTATGCCAAATTAAACTATCACAATGAATGCAATAGAAAAAGCCCAAACTTGAATGCTGATTTTCAAAGCAGGCATAACATTGCTGTTTGGGAGATTGTCATAACACAATCTTCCTCTACCTCACCTTCTCTTACTCTTGGCCTGTACCAATTTGGAATTAAAAATGTCAAGTGTGATTCCTGTATCAGATATTCAACAACAATGTTAAACACTTCATGTACAGACTGGTGATTTTCTGCCATAGTGGAATTTGTAGCATCAGAAAAAAACCAATATAAATTCTACTGTTCTCTAGTGTATAGGAACAATTGTTTAATTTTGATGGAATAAAGAAGAGACAAAATTTTATTAATTCAAAATATCAAGGTCTGATAAACGACAAAACTTCTTTTCTTCAAATTGTTTATGTTGGACAAGAGGCAAAATTTTCTCCTTTTAAATTATCTAGGTTATGCAAGAGACAAAACTTTCTTCCTTCAAACTGTCTAGATCAGAAAAAACTTCCTTTCTTTAAATTTTCTATGTCAGACAGGAAACAAAAGTTTCTTCCTTTAAATTTTCTAGGTCAGACAATAGACAAAACTTCTTTCAAATTCTCTACGTGAGTCAAGAGACAAAACTTCTTACCCTCAAATTGTCTAGTTTAGGCAAGGGACAAAATTTCCTTCATTCAAATTATCTAGTTCAGACAAGAGACAAAACTTCCCTCCTTCAAATTCTCTACGCCAGTCAAGAGACAAAACTTCTTACCCTCAAATTGTCTAGGTTGGACAAGAGACAAAATTTCCTGCTTTCAAATTGTCTATGTCAGACAAGAGACAGAACTTCCCTCCTTCAAATTGTCTAGGTCAGACAAAAGACAAAACTTCCTTCAAATTGCTGAGTTCAGACAAAGAATAAAGCTTTCTTATATGTAAATTTACATACAGTTGAACTTGATGGATTGTATCTTTGTTAAATTTAATGAGAGTTTGTTTCAATAGATGTCTTCTAAACATCAGTATTTAAAGTGGTTGTTCTTCCAAAACCACCCCTATCAGAATGATACTAGTCTTTCTTTTCAAACTTGCTTACCAATTGCTGTAATTTATGCAGTTACTGAACTTGAGTATACAGTACAAATATTCTTCATTGTCTGTGTTGCATTATAATCTCTATGAAATTCATGTTTTATGCAGTAGTGAACATGATTCTCATTAAAGTCTTTGTTTCCCATGAAGTTAAATGTTGCATTATTGATATCCCAGCTATCGCTTCTGAGATGTACACTTTTGCATGGATGTGTAGCTGAGTTGTTAAAACATTCTCATTCTGACTAATGAGACCTGGGTTCAAATCTTGCTATGGTTGATTTGTCTGAGAGGTAACTTTTTGATGTTATTGGCTTTGGGATACTCCCTGGATATGGCACCATTAGAAAGTGTATGAAGATCATATCATTGGTTAGCCCAAGCCTTGTGAATGAATGTATCTGTCCATATTTCTGAGATGAGGTATTATGTACACTATTTACATTATTTGGACTATTGTAAATAGTGTACATAATACATAATCTCAGAAATATAGACAGATACTGAAGGATCGGTACAGATCCGATACACTGAAAATATGGAGACAAATTGAAAAATCCTACCAGAAACTGACACGAAAATCGAACCATCTAACATTCCTACACCGATGCAGAGATCTACACCTCATCCCTTCAGGCTTGGCACCAAGACTTCCTGTCAATTCAAGGAGAGCCCATCTGGTTGCAGAAAAAGCGGGACACACCCTTGTCTGAGAGAGAATTCAGTACAATTGTTAGCGACCAAGATGAGGCTTGTGAATGAAATTGTGTTGATGAAACTGTTAGAAAGTCATTGATGATTGTGCTTATACAAAGTGACAAGTCAATGTGAACAAGGTTTTGAATATGACTAGCCTTGTTCAAAATTGTTGATCACAGCAGGTTATGTGCTTTCTCTCAGAAACTGTAACTAAGATCTGCTTAGCATAGTTGCAGTATAAATCACAGATTAGCTCTGTGGGTATTGAAGAAACACAAACATGTTGATGTGTACAATCAGGTATGAGTACACCCACCTTTGCAGGTGGGAGTACTCAGAAAAGAGTATACAATCATCATTATAAGGGTTTTGTAATAATAATAATAAAAAAAGGAATTAAGTATGGGGAGTGCAACCTTTAAGCCAGGTAGGCCATGAGTAATTTGCATATTAAAATTAGTTCACATTTTCACAAAGTGAATCAAATGATTTTTTTGTAGTGGTTGTAGTGGGAGGAGGTACATTCCACATCCCTCCTTGGTAACAGCACTGGGTAAACTGGTATTTTAACAGAACTCATATTGCAAATGAAACTTTTTTTTATTTTTTAACTCAACAATATTTACTTTATTAATTTTGATTAAATAAGTTGGTGAGCCAAGTTCAAATTATAATCAGGTTCGTTACACTCACTTTCTCTCAAATACCCAACAACAACAAAGATGAGGACAATAGTCTGAATGTAAATAGTATAAATAATAATAACTCATCCCAGAAATTCAGACAGGAAATAGCCTTGGGAAAGGTATAAATCCGTCTCCATCCCTCCCCACCAGATCTGGGTAAATAGTAGGACTTGTATCTAGAAAAATTGTTTTTATTCCCAAATAAATTGTTAATGCAATATTCACTCACAAAAATAGTTATTTTTACATTCCAAAATATGTTTCAGCTTTAAATAACCCACAAAAGGTTGATAAGTATTTATAAAACAAACCAATCAGTTATATATGTTTTGCTATCACAACTAATTATAAAATTATAGCTCTCAGCAAATCAAAAAACTTATAGGAAAACTTCAATATTTCATATTTCCATGTTGATGTGCATTCCATAATTATACAATTTGGAAACCAAATTACATTTCATAAAGATGTTTTATGCTGAAAATAAAAAATAATAAATATTTTTTAAAAAATAAACAGGCACAGAGAAATAATGTAGATTTTGAACAAAATAATAAATGTGAAAAAAATAACTTTAAAACAAAAATAGTGTAGAGAATTGCAGAGGTAGAAGGGTTGATTACCCGTAAAAAACAAATCAATCAATTAATAATTTTGTTTAATATTTATTTGTTGATTGATCGATTATTTCTCTGCAACTTATCAACTCTTTGCAGGTTATTTAAAGCCAGAAAATATTTTTAGATTGTAAGAATTTTAGGGGGAAATAATAATGGTTTAGTGATACAACTGATAGCTATGGGGGGGGGAGAAGAGGTAGATTCATGCCTAATCAGAATTTGATAAACAAAAGAAATTACAATCTGGATATGAAGTGGGGCATCGATTCTATATTACAATCAATATATAAATTGATCCCTCATTTTATGGCCACGGTAGTTTCTATACATTTATATTTCAGAGAATGTAAATAAATCTAAAAGACATGACTGTGTGGCAAATCAGTATTTCATTGATTGATTCATTCATTTTCTATGGCTTATCAACCCTTTGTAGGATATTTAAAGCCAGAAAATATTTTTAGATTGTAAGAATTTGTGGTGGGGGATATAATAATGATTTGATGGTAGCAATGATGACTCTAGGTCATCAATGTTTGTTGTTCTCATTACAATCTATATATGGTTGGTATAATTTAGATGCTAAAATGATTCCTTTACTCTAACTAAAATATATAATTTTTAAAAATCTCTGTACATAAAATTTAAAAAAAAACACATTTTCGTATTTAGGGTTAGTGGAATGCACTAGCCAGATATGTTTTTTATATCGTGGGTGGTTTCTTTTATCATCTAAGCTTAAGTCTCGCCTCTCTTTTCCTTTCTTTCCTTTCTCTTTTTCCTTTCCTTTTTTTTTTTTTTTTGTGCCCCTAAATGGTGTCACACATGGCTGTACCCACACCAGTGTACTAAAGAGAGGAGATCAGTAGGCATACTGATGCCAGTGCAACCGACAGTTGCAGAGGCTGCAATTTTGGGTCCTGGTCTGGGCATACATGCTCGGCTTCCTTTTGTCACATCCATCACATCTCATTGTTGAGATGGGGTAAACATCTACTAGGTAATGAGTTCAATCCTCACTGGGTGTCCCATACTTGTGACCTTGTGCTAAACTTAATTAATAATAAACAGATTATGTTTCATCTAAGTTAAGCAACATTATTGTGCAGCATTTATTTTATAGTAAAATTTGTATTTTGCTGATTGATTTGTTCTTTATGACTTATCAACCTTTTGGGGTTATTTAAAATCACAACATATTTCGACTTTCTAAGAATAATTCCTGGTTTTTGCAAGTAAACAATCCATTAACAATTTTTTTTGAGAATAACTAATTTTTCCAGTCACAAGTTTTACTATTTAACCATTCCTAAGGGTATATAAGCATAAGTGAATATAACAAACCCAACTGGAATTTGAACTTAGCTTTCATTCTGAACCACTATCCATTACACCACCTTCACATCCTTTATAGTGGGAAATAAATACCAGCAGTTTATTTATTTATTATTTAATTTTTTTCACCCTATACAAGACCTAAGAACCACTCAAGGTAGAAGGTTACAGAGTATAAAGTAACAGGCACAGTTTATGAAGCTATGTGGGGAAGAACATATGATTGATTGATTTTTTTGTTTTTACGGCTTATCAACTTTTTGTAAGTTATTTAAAGCTGAAACATATTTTTAGATTGTAAGAATGTTTTTTTTTTGTTTTTTTGTTTTTTTTGCAAGTGAATATTGTATTAACAATATTTGTAGATTATAATGATTTTCAGATTCAAGTTCTACTATTTAACCCATATCTGGGATGGAGAAGAGGTGGATTCATGCCTTTCTCAAGGGTACTTGTGTGTGAGTGAATGCAATGAACCTGACTGAAATTTGAACCAAACTTGGCTCTCCAACTTCTTATTCCAAGCCACCATCCATTACACCAAGCAGACATCCAAGCTTATAGCACCTGATATTCCCAAGTGGTCACCCATCTAAGTACTGGCCAGGCTTGATGTTGCTTAACTTCAGTGATCGGATGGGAACCAATGTTTTAACATAAGCTGGGAAGAATACAATAACACATTCTAATGATAACAGAATACAACTTCAAGTAAGATTCTTTTTAATTTCTTCCTAATGTTTTATGACAATAAGTTATCTTTTTTTTCATATTGGTTTTTATTTGTCAAAGAGCTAAAATAAGTTTTTTTTTAAATTTATTATGGATTGAACATGTAAGTAACGAGGAAGTTTTATGGAAAATGGAAACAAAAAGGACACTTCTACTTAGAATCAGAAAGACACAGTTGAAGTTTCTAAAGCACATAATGAGGAAAAAGAGCTTGGAGAATTCGACACTGACAGGTCATTGAAAGCAAGAAGGACAGAGGGAAACAGTGAATAATTTAGCTAATGAGCTTATTTGGTTGTCAGAACAAGGTTAAGACAAATGTTACTAAGCGCTATAAAGAACAGGACGTTGTGGAAAGCCATGATCGCCCATATCCTGAAGAGCCATGACACATAGAAGAACAAAGCTTAGCTTAATTTCTGTCTGAATTTCTGGGATGACAAGTTATCATTATTTACAGTGAGATTAATATCCTCATCTTTGTATCCCAACATTTTGGTTACCCAGATCAAGAGACACATGAAGAAGAATGAAGGGGGACAATGGCCAAAAAACTTTGTGATAGTAACAACAAAGATGAAGAGAGGACATTAGTCCAAATGTAAATAAATAAAGCTTATTTTAGTTTGGCACAAGGCCATAGATAATGGTGGGGTTCGAACTCAACTCACTAATTTAATTTGTTTACCTGATGAAGGGTTGTTATTGTTAAACAATAAACATCACACTATGCTAGTTACTTTTTTTAGAGTTAAATTTAGCCACAAAAGAAGTAGGGAGATGCACCCAGTGAGGATCAAACACAATATATAGAAATGATTTGCCTGCTAAGTGCTAACCAGTGAGTAATAATACCCTACAGTACATTATGGCAAGATAATGATAATTGTTTTAGAACGTTTTTTCCTTCACATTATTTTTGAAAAACTGGAAAAAAAAAAAAAAAAAAAAAAAAAAAAAATATTTAATACTGCCAAAAAGTTTAAAATAAGTTTTGATTTGCATTTTAAGTGGCTTTTATATATATATATATATATATATATATATATATATATATATATATATAAAATATTTGTTCTTTTTTAGTTTTTGTTCCAGTGTGTTCAAATCTAACTTGGAGTGGGCGTTAGCTAAGTTTAACTTCAAAGCACAAAGTCGAGTTCTAAAACGTTGAACCGGCTTTCTAAAAAAGTATCCAATCATATTTTTTCTGTTTTGCCTGCCAGCATCCCTGCTGTCACCCACTTTCTGTGTTTCCTCTGCTGCCGTTTATCTACCTACACACTTAGTTTTTTTTTTTTTTTCCTGTATAAGTATGAATGTACGTATGTTTGTGTCGGTGTCGTCTACAGCTCACACCTAAACCAGGGTCGGTCGAGATGGGGCGCACTGCCCTTTTCCATTTCTTGACTGCTTTTCTCCTTTCTTTCTCTTTTCTGGATTACGTCTATGCTGAAGAAAACGGGTAAACATTTTTAATTTTATAATTTGTTTTCCGTTTTTGATAATTACCTGCATATTTTTGTTTAACGCATTTTGTCCAAAGATAACCCGAGCTATGATATTTGTTTTACCTTTTTTTTTTTTCACGATTGAGTGTGGTTCTAGGGGTTCTCTACCAAAATCAAAGAAAGGCAGAGAAAAAAGGGAATGTTGAAGTTTTTATGGAAAAAGAAAGCAGCATGATTGAAAAAAATAATGCTGAAAAATATTCTTCTTAGAATATAAAACAAATTTTATTTACAACAATTTTACTAAATATTTTATTTTACTTATTGATTAAATTAAGAAGACTGATTCTTTCTTTTTATTTTTATATTTATTTTCGTTTTGGTATTTTTTTTTTTTTTTTCTTGAGTTGTTCAAGATTTAAGATATTATTTTTTAAACTCTTGGGCAATTGAAGAAACAGCAAAAAGAAATCTCTATGAAGCATTTTAGAATGAGAAGTAATTTATATTTAAAATATAATTATTTCTCTTATTCTAAAACTGCTTCAGAATTTTGTTAAATTTCAGTGTTCACTGTTATTGTCTTTGTTTTCGCAAAAAGACTTTTTTTGTTTTTCTCTAGTTTATACGAAACATTTTTCTGAAAATGAAATACTACAGATTTTTTAATTTAAACTCGAAAATCTCCATAATTTACAAGAAGGAAAAAAAAAAATACAAACTTTTTTTTAAAAATTTTTTTCATCTTGTTCTTGTATATTCTACCTACATTCATTATTCAAAAAGTTTTTAAAATTTTTAAGTACTTAATTTTCTTGACAGCCTTTTTTGCTTTCTTTTTCATATTTTTTTTTTTTTTAATTTAGGACACTTGACTTAGTTCCTTTAAGTAACTACATTTTAACTTGTTCCTTTTCATTGCGAAGCTAGATTTTCAGAAAAAGTACTGATTTATAAATTTTAAAAACTAAAAGTTCACGCCAATATCTTATTTTATTTTTCTAAAAGTTTTAGTGTCCGTCAATTTTTAGCAGTATAAAATAGTATATTTCTCATATTTCACAAGACATTTTCATTTCTAGATTAAAAAAATATATTATTTTAAGTTCACAAATCCTACGTTACTTCCATTTCTTCATTGAGTTGTTAAATGTTTTCGAACCACCACAAAGAGTACTTTGTCGTACGTAATGCTTTTTTTTTCTTTTCCTCTGCAATTGACACACAGGAAGAAAGTTTTTCTAAAAATCTATATTTTCATTTAAAAACAAAACATTCTTCCTCCGATCATTCAATGAAAACATTTAGCAACAAACTTTTTTCTTTTTTTTATTATTATTATTTATTTTTTTTTTTTTTTTTTTATTCTAAGGAAAAAGCCTTAAAGTAAAGATTAATTAATTGAATCGGGCAATAATTTCAATGTATGAGCAGTAATGTTTTATCGGCGTGAAAAGTCGAATCGACGGTCCGAGTTCAACTTATGGAATAATCATTATTATTTAGCACAAATTCCTTGGGAAAGGCATGAATCCGTTTCTTCCTCCTGCTATCAGTGTACTGAGATCTCAAGCTATGGTTGGCAGCCAGTTTAGGAGAAACACTACTCTGAATTACCCCCCCCCCCCCAAAAAAAAAAACAACTGGAGAAGTCAATGGAAAAAGAAATCATAGTAATCCACAAATAATGGGGGGAAAAAGAATCTGTAGTGTGGCATGATCACCTAATGGAGGGACACATTACTTAAAAAAAACAAAAAAAAAAAACAAAATGTCTGTTTTAATTTAGATGTAACATAGATATCTCTGTCTGTGAGGATAGGATTTTTTTTTTTTTAAACAAAGGAAAACAAGGGTTTTAGTTTCTTGTTTTATTTGGTAATAATAACTAATTAGGCCGGAGTTGATAATTTGGTTTAAAAATTGTTTAAAAGCATTTCATTTTTCTTTCATTTTTAAATGTTTGGAATTCGTTTTCTAATTTAGGTTTCCCCCGCCCCGAAATGGCCAAATTTTATTAACAACTCTCAAAACTCGAACCATTACCAGCTGATTTGAACTGGCGTTATTGAATCAACCGTACCGATTATTGTCTCTTTTCGTTTTTAAAATCTTATGCAATTTGAGTTTAAACTAAATTTTTGAATTATACAATTAGTTTAAACTCGATTAAAATTTATTTGGAAAAAAAAAAAAAATGAAACGTACAAGCAAATAATTGTATTCTGTTGTTGTGAAGTATTTGATGTTTTAAGAACAATTCTGTTAAAAAGCCGTATTAATTGAATCCCGCAAAATATTTTTTATTTCTTTTAATTTTAAATAAGATCTTTTAATGAAATCGCTTATTACCCGAATTGTGTTGCATTGTCAATTATTTTAAATGACAACTTGTTAAAAAAAAATCTGATGCTCGCACAGACATACAGCTTAAAAAAAAAAAACAAACTAAAAATGCAATCATTATCACTGAAGTGAAGTCCTTTTATTTATGCAGTCGTGATTTATTTTACATTTTTGTAAAAGTTAAAACAATAAATTCATTTTTAAAGGATGACTAACAAAACAAAACTATTTTATAAAGCTTTTTCTAAAATGATTTCATTCATTTCTAAACAAGTCCTGACATAAAATCTGATAAAGAAAGAAAACGCGAAGTTTAAAACTTAAAGTAATTAATTTCCTTTATGGTCAACCACTGATGCAAGAAAAAGAATTAACCAAAATTCTCAAGGTTGTAAAATAAAAAAGGATTAAAAAATGTAATTTAATCAAAAAAAATCCTTTGGTCTTTCCTTTTTAATAACAAAGATTTTGGCGATAAAACTTTGTTTTTAATTTTAGATATGGGTATGTTTTTCATGTGTATGCTCATTTTTAATTTTAGCGAATTTTTGAAGGTACCTACTTTAATTCAACTCTCAATATTTGTTTGTCTTGTGTACATACAAGTCTACCTTGTTTGTAATAGAGAGGTGCCTATTTGGCATTGCTGCCACCGGTTACGATCCCAGATAATAAAAAATTCGTACTGACTTTCAAGGCAGAAAGGCCCGCTAAGCTAGCTAGCCCAATATACAATCTTTTAAAAATTGTCCTTTAAATATGGGCTTTAATTCATTTAAGCTAAGAAAAGTCATGCAACCCGGGTCTTTTTAAAAGTAAAACTTAACATACCTTTTTTTTTTTTTTTTTTTTCTAAAAATGTTTGTATACTTCTTTCTACAAACATTCAATATTCATTCAGTCAACTCAATTCTTCACGGTGGCTTCTTTTTTAAAATGCTACAATAACATAATTTTTTTTTTTCCTAATATTTTGTTGACCCATGGTAAAACAGGGAAAATCTATCACCACACACGTGTTTAGTTTACGAATTGCTTGTCTTTATTTTCCAGCCCTACGGTACTTTTTCACAATGCCTTTGTTATTCCTTATGGGATCTCCTCTTAGTGTGTTGAAAGATTTGATT